CCCACGGACCGGACTGGCCAACTGACAGCTGCCAACAAGACCTGGAGGAGTCTGTTTCAGCTGCGAAACGCGACATTGGTGCGCTGACGGAGGAAAAGGAAGAGCTCGGGAGCACACTGAAGACCAGGACCGCCGAGGTCGCGCAGCTCAAGACTCAGCGCGACGTCGTCGTGGCGGCACTCGCGGCCGAGAAGAAGTCAGCCAGGGATGGTGTGGTCGAGATCACCGGCAAGCTCGAGGATTGCCAAGTGGCACTCCAGGGTCTCCGATCCCAGCTCCAAGCGGCCATGAGCGACGCCGTCAAGGGCCAGATCGCAATCAATGAGCTCCGGTCGGAGAATGGTCGACTGCACAAGACGGTGTCCAGCCTGGAGGCAGACGTCCAAGTGGCAGAAATCAAGATCGTACGGGGCGACGTCCGGGTCACCGAGCTCGGGAATCAGCTGAAGGCGGCGACTCAGGAGCTCGGCTCTGCGCAGGGCAGGGCATCGCTGGCACAGAGTGCTCTGAAGCAATGCCAAGACACGCTGAGGACACACATGACGAGGAAGGACAAGGTGGCGGCGCTGAGCAGCAAAGTGGAGTCGCTGGAGAAGGAGAATTCGGACCTGTCGCTGTCAGTGAAGACACTGGAGGACGAGAACGCCGGGCTGCGTGCGGATCTGGCACGGCTGGCGAATGTGGACAAGCAGGTTGAGGACGCGAGGGCCGAGACGGTTTTGGGCCAGGATCAACTGAAGGCAGTAGTGGAAGAATGTGACCGACTGACGGTGGCAGCGGAGGATTGGGACGAGGTCAAGAGCGAGCTCAGCGACGCGCGATCGAAGCTTACGGAGGTGCGGAAGGAGAAGGTGCACTTCATTGTCGCCCACATCGACATCCATAACAAGCTCGCTGTGTCCGAGAAGATCTGTCAAGAGTTCCAGGTCTGGAATGCTGGTCTTTCCGCCGATCTCTCCACCGAGAGCGAGACCCACACGACGACTCGCGAGGACTCCCCAGCAGCAATTTCCTATTTTACGTCGATTAAAGAGCTCAAGAACGTCGAGGCGGAGCGCATCGAACTCAAGGAGACGAGCCTCAGCGCAGAAGGCGGCGCGACGAGCGTAGACTTTACTATCGTTCCCCATCCGTTCACGACAGAGTCAGCTGACGCATGTGATGACGATGACGAGGTCACCATGGTCGCCGACCCGGTCGACGCCGAGACCTGCGAGACACCTAAGGAGGCACCAAACAATGACATTGTTGTGAACGATGGCGATACCATTGCTCAACCAGCTCAAGGTCCAGAAATCGGCTGTGTCCCGGAGATCTCACTTCCTGTTTCCCTTGCGCCGGTCAAGTCGGCCAAGCCCAAGGCTGCGTCGTTCGACAAAGAGAATGGCTTTCCCTTCGTGAGTCTATCTTTTCGCGATCCTCTGAATGTCGATGCTTACTGCCGATCTCCTCTCCAGACTCGTGTCATTCGCCCATCATGCTCCGCCGTCCTGTGTGCGAGCCCACGTATCAACGGCCTCACACCGTCTTCCTCAACTCTAAGGTTCTTTGCCCCCGGATCCCCAGTGAGTCCGCATGGCTCATTATGGCGACCGGCCGCTGACCACACACCAGGTCCCGAATACGATTTCGAGCGGTGGTGTCTCTTTCGCCTCTGTCTGGGGATCACCCGTGCCATTTTGACCAATTCCTTTCTCGAATTCTCGAACTCTTGCAATATCTCCTGCGATATCATACGTCGCTCGGTCCTTCACATGAACGATACTGACAGAAGAATCACGTAGTAATCACGACTCTCGATTGGAACGACTAACTACATCACATCATCCCAACACTTGGATTCGCACCGACACTCAGTCTCGCACACACACATCTTGCAGCCTACGACTGCTGACTCTTGACATTGCAACATCAACACAACTAACCCAATTGGTGCCGATTTCTCATCTACGCTTCCGCGCAAAACCTACAGCGCTTAGACATATATCTCTCGACGTGTATTTGTACCCTCTGCCGTGTCCTTCCTTTTCTCTTCCCCCAACCACGCGCTGACGCCTTCATTATCTCGTCCATGTCCCGGCTGCGCTCGAGCATTCTACGTGGATGTGCAAGCGAATGGCTCTGTAGTCTCGCAAGCACACTTCATGGCACGTCCCCAACGCCAGTGTTCTGACCTTCCCATCGACTTCCACACTGCCCACGACGACCCGTCTGACGACGACATCACCATCAACACCAAGTGCAACTAGTCACTGCTCTTCGACAACTCTCATGGCTTCGCTGGTCTCTCGACGACTCCGGACGACTCACCGCCGACAATGACTCGACAAACTCTAGACGACATGGAAGCCTACTAGCTATCTGCCGATCGACGACGTTCACGAAACCCGGACTGAGTGGGGCAATCGTCAAGTGCCTGCGTGTTGCAGAGCACTCTCGATCGTTCTCTCGGTCGGTTGGGCGGAGTGTCCGGTTAGCCTCCTTCGGCGGTCTGGTCTTCTTCCCCCTCCTCTGGCGACCGCTCCATCGATCGTCTGTCGGCTGTTTCTCGCCTCGGTTTCCTCCATCATCTGCGTCGTCGTGGGTCATGAGCGTAGTATCTTGTTTGCTTGGTCTTGGTCTGCCATTGTGGTCTGTG